CTAACAACCGGTAATGCTATTTAGAAGGTTTCCACAATGAGATCATTTAGAAGAGAAATATTTATCTCTTAAAAATGCATACATATCCAGCATAAAAATTACTAGAAAAGGGTATTTAAATTAATGGAAGTAATCCCACTTGACATTTGGGATAACAATTACGATACTTTCCAATTATCATTATTGCTTATTTTCTTTCACAGAGAATTCAAAGTGCTGGACTTATTTCCTCAGCCCCAAGTTCCATAGTACGATAAGACATCAAGTTTATTTTCAACCTATACTTACATACTTTATGTTGAGAACGGATACTTTGAAAAACATGCTAGTTTGAAGGAAACAGCTGTAATTTTGTTTCAAAGCATAATTTTTCTTCTTGTGATTATCAAAACTTTTTTTTATTTCATTACCAATGCAGAATTGAAGTAATATCAAATACTTTATTGCAAGAAACATATCAGAGTCATATTTAGTTCCATCGGACAGAAAAATTTTGACAAGAAAAAATTCAGCTCACCGCAAATACTTTTAACAGCATCTGATTTCTTTTCATACTGATATATATTGATTCCAGAACACAGCTCTGTAAAACTACCTAATTGCAGAATATGCAACAGTAAAAGTAGAGATGGCTAAACTAAAAGTAACATTCTTCACACAACCTACCAGTTGGTCAGTGCTATTTACTGAAATCCTTTTCACTCCTCAACTAGAATCTCTCATTCACCTCTTCTCTTACAGCAGAAGATAAGTAAGATCATTCTATTTATATAATGTAAAAAGTAAAAAATTTGGCTTAAAAAAAAAAGCTCATGAAAAACCCACTTATAACTTGAGATTGTGGATAATCCCACAATTACTTTTTCCTCATTCAAACAACAGACATGGCCAAAGTTGTTTTATGTCTGCTAGTACGTAGACTCCTGACCTTGCACAAACATTTGTATCTCCAAAGACAGAAATGAACACCTCACTTCAACTAAAAAAGAATGAAAATATAAAAACTGCTTTGATGGCATCGTGGCAAATTTCCAGGACACGGGTTTGCAAAATTAGACACAGACTACTGCATTTAATTGCTGCTTCAAAAGAAACAGAAATGGGAAATGCTGGGAACTCTAAGACAAAGAGACATGAGCTTTCTTTTTATAGTCACGGTGGTCCCAAGTCAGTACCAGTGTCCCAAAGATTGCCCAAAACCGAAATACATGGCATGACTTCACATCAGCCAAACATATTCAACACACCAGATACCACCACAGTGTGATGTTCTCACACTCCTCCTCTCCCTTCCTCTCTTTACTTGAAAAGAAAAAACAAAAAGAGAGAAATTATGGCTTGGTGCAAACATCTACAACATAGCAGAGAAGAACATAGAAAGCTGCATGATCTTTGACTTTCAGCAACGGATTGTACTAAAAATATAAAGAAATTTGGATTCAATAATTTGAACACAATATTCCAAAATACGAAGGGTTCTCGCGAGAGACTACATGACTACAGGGCCTGGTATGGGTCAGCACTCAACGCACAAGAGAACTTCAAGTGCCATGCCATGTAAAGCACCACTTACTGGCTGAACACACAGTATATGCTATAAAAATACTTCCATTCCCAGATCAGAACTTTCAGAAAACTCACCTTTGAGTGCAAAAAATTCATCAGCAGCTCATTTATTGTTCTCCTCAGAACATACCCCTTAAATACTGGCAGTCAAACAAAGACTTTTGGAGGGATGGAAAAAGGAGAATAGTACTGTTATTCATAACATATTGTGTGTAGTATGCAAATAATAAAAATTTTATTTCTACTGACTCTAAATAACTTTTTGATTATTTTCTGCCATATGAGAACAATGTCCTGGTCTTTAGGAACTGTAATCTTTAAACTCATCTGCTGCATGTTGTGTGTGGATTTGTTTACAAGGACTAATACTTCCTGAGTACAGAAAGCCTTAGAAAATGTACCCCCAAAAAATTGACTGAAGCCTGCTGTATTAGAAGATGGAAAATTTATCCATTTTTAGCAAATGTCAAATCATTGGCTATTGCTTTTAAGATTAATAAAAGATATAATGGTTTCTAGATAGCCTCTAAATAAAGATTACTATGAATGGAGAAATGATTTACCAATAGTCACCACAATGAGATTTCTTTAAAGGTTACAATCATCAGTTATTTAGCTGAAACACTGCTGAGAATGCCTGGTCATTTCTTGAATAATGCATAATGTTCATTGTAGATTTGATCTGTATTATAACAATACAGATATTTCTAAAATAATGGAGAAAACTATCTGTTACTTTCCAATTGCTCGAGATATTTCCATGAAGTAATTGACTCTGAAAATATTATATGGAGTTACCTGAGTGTTCATTTGCAAGCACAACTTGTAGTGATCTACACAACAGGCATAAGAAAACAAACTCATCAGCCTTTATAGACTTTTAAGAAAAGCTGTGATAAATACAGGGCAGAGTAAAGGACCTTCCTGAAATACTAAATTAAAATGATTAAATTGCTGTGCAGTACTGGGGGACAAATTTAAAATTAAGCTTTGAAATTTAATTATTAACACAAGCAGGCCAACACGTTTGGGGAAGAGGAAAAAAAAAAAAAAAAGGCAGTTGCCTACGCAACGTAAGTACCTTTCATATAATTTTCCAAATACCTTTAAGTCTATTCAGAAGATTGCTTGGGCACACACAAAATATAACGTCTAGTGTTTTATTGTAGGATTATCAACTATACTTCACGTGAAGCTGCAAGCTATTTATATGTGAGCTTGTTTACCCATATGAACTTCTTCAAGGGCAGCAAAAAGCAACCTTAATAAATGAAAATGAATTTCTTTTGATGTAATTTCATGAATGTTTGATCAGAATGTGTTAACAGGTTTTTATGTAAGGAGAACTGGTGAAGTAATAAAATATACCTGTACTATACAGTTAAATCTGCTTATGGAGAATTCTTATACAATGAAACACTGTTTCATCAAGCACAATTTCGATATACTAACACATAAATAATACAATCCTAGTTAGTATAAAGCTAAATACTCAAACAGGGGGAGGAAAAAAAAAAGGCAAAAAATCCTTCCTCAGCTCCCCCCCCCCAACCATATCAGTGGATAGGTGGTAGAGCAGGATTTATTATATCAGATAGGGTGAAAAGACATTAAATGTTTACCTAGGCTTTTTTATAGGGAGAAACGTGTTAATCTAGGCCAGACTATTTATGCTGCTGTCCAAGAATAAGGTTTTAACCTCCCCTAAAACTCTTCATTAGAATCTTTGCACAAAAATGAAGCTTCAGCATTCAGGTATATATTCCACAAGAGGATAATGAAAAACAGATCCCAGATACTCTGAAAACGTACACAGAGGTCTGCAGAAATCAAACTTGCCATAATACAGGACAGCTTGTAGAAGCCACTGTATGTCTGTGAGCTACAGGAATTTTGGGAGGAATTATTTAAGAGACAGATCATAGATCGTACAGCAGAGTCCACTCTACATCCACCCTGAAACACTGTTTAATTGCCTGAGAATGAACTCTCATCCTGAAAAAATGGGGAACATTTGCATATTATATCAGAAGCCTGATGAACCATGTTATACTCATGCTCTGGATGATGTAATTATTACCTTTTTTTCCCCCCATGAAAATTATATATGATGTAGTAGATAATATGAATTATATATATGAAATGATGCAAATATGTCCTGCTATTAAGTTATCAGCCTGAAAGTCCTTTGGTTTTTTCCCCTCCATGTCTACCTCCGTCCATTGAAAATTATAACTTTCCTTACCTAATATTATTTTCTTTAAATGGAAGAGCAGGTAAAATGCAACATCAATACCAGCAACCCTTCATACACAATTGTGGGCTGATAAACAAGATTCTATTTCCCCCTCTTCCCTCCACCCTTAAAGACAGTCTTGTCTTTTGCCTGATGCTATATACAATCTATCTAGTTTAGTGTAGATTAAGAGTTTAAGTTTCATAATGTGCGGGGAAAAAACCCTTAAGTGCTCAAATCTCATATGTCTCTGTCCAAAATACGTTTCCTCCAAAATGTGCAATCGGTAGCTAAAATAAAACCGGGTAGAGTTTTCTGCGTTGACAGAGCCAGGGCAACCACAATTCCCAGGGTTTGGTAACTTTGAGTTCTGTTAATGCAGCTTGCTCCCTAATTCAAAATACTTATCTGACAGCAAGATCACACTCATCTGCATAAGTAGCATGAGTCAAAAAAAAATAGAAAAAAATGTCCAGTTTACACAAGTAGTTGGAAACACTCTTTAGGACCAACATGCAGCCAGCTTCTCAAATAACTGTCTGATCCCTCTATTACCTGAATTTTGTGGCAACTCATGTCTAAAACATTGATTTTGCTGCCCAACTGCTTGTTTGAGCATGAAAAGACGGTGTTTAATATTGAAAACAGTCTATTTTGGCTGAAACATTGATAGATGCTTCCTGGCTCAAAAGTCAAAATAATTTCTGTACACATTACAAGATGATAAATAAAATCCTAGTCTCTAACCTGAAGATTTAAAAATTTGCATGTGATGCTCTCAAGCTCCAGAAATACATGATTCTGCCTTTAAGGTTTAGGCAGAGAATTAAGAGATTGAGTCCTCAATTCAAGGAATAATGCCATGCTCCTCTCAGACACATCCTTATACAAGGTACTAAACCAAAGCAACACAATCATTGCTAAATAACTTTAAGCAATTTAGTCTATGTCACCCAGAAGACTTACAGCTGTAATAGTTACATCAATAGGTTCGCTGTTAAATAAAAAATAAATAAAATAAGAGGTTTATTTCACCTTCACATGGTGTCTTTCTCATGCAGACCTCAGATTTCCACATTTGTATCCCTTTAAAGGATTTGATATGCAGGGAAAGAAGAAAGGATGATGGTAAAAATTTCAATTTAGAGGTTACTAAAGGCTGCCATATTCGATACTATACAACATATTTACTCCATACCTTTTACTGATGTATTAGGTGGAGGTCCTTCCATTCTCAAGTTCCACGGAGGATCGCCTTGATTAGCAAAGTCCCTCATTTTCAGATAGCTAATTGTAAGTCGGATGATGGATGCCTTGTCAAGCTGGCTGGTAATGGCTGCAGGCAGTGGCAACAACTTTGCCAACTCATAGAATTCAAAATTCTCCTTTCCCCGGCGAGAGCGAGCAGCATCTCGGGACTTTTCCTTCCTCAAAGCTTGTAAACTGAAAGAAAATAAACAAAGTAGGACATTCATCAATATTAGTGCTCTGTCACATTTAACCAATTTACTTTTTCATTCTGGTCTTCTATACAGATTACTGTATTTTCAAAATGCTGTTTTGTATGGGTGTACAGACTTCAGGATATATTTAATGGTACTCCAGTCTTTGAATGATTAAAACTAATGATAAAATTTGAATTTCAGTGGTAGCCAACACATTAAGTAACTACTCCTAAAACATTTCAGCCGCTTTCTTCTTAGCCTGCCCTTCCTTATTCTACTGCTAGTCACAAGAAAAGATTACCAAGAATGCTGTGTACATGTGGGGTTTATCCGCATAGATGCCATTGCTTCTCAGGACCCATTTGTAACCCAATTTTGTCTAAATTTGTGCCAAATTCTGACTCCTGGGAAAAGGAGGTTAAAAGCAGATGACTGAAGTGTGTGCCACCTCTGACAGGGGTTGCAGTGCAGCCGAGATGACCAAACGGGTTGTACAGCAGCTTCTGAGCCACAGAAGTTTAAGTCTGGCATAATAACATAAAACTTCCTGGACTTCATGAAGCTGCTCTTTATGAGTTGTCCATCTGTCCTTGCTGTGGGAATAGCAGCCTTTGTCAGAGGATGAGCAAGCAGTTATGTGCTTCACATTTCTGATTGTAATTCACTACCACACACACATGTCAGACTGACAACTTTTTGGTCAGAAAGGACCTTCTGCTTTGCACTGAGCAGATGAAAAGCAAAGACATTCATTTAGTCCTGTTGCATCAAGGTATCACTTACTACCACCCACAGGCAACACCTAAAGGTAACTCAGATTTTACTCCTGGGCTGTTTTTTTAATTGGTGTAAAACTGCTGAATGCACATTGTGATGACAGCAGGTAACCACTGGGGTCTTCTCCTCATCTTTCCCTGAAACTCAAAGGAAACTCACATTTCAGTTGTTTTCAATATATAATACTACAGCTTTCCAAGACAAAAGGGACTAACTTTTTTTTTATTGCGTGGTTTAGGGCAGAAAAATAAATGTACAGTATGTCCCCAAATGATCAGGAGTCAATGTGTAGGATGATATAAAGAACAGATGTTGCCTCTTTTGTTTTTAAGGAGAGGTTTTAAACTTTTTTTTTTTTTTTGTGAGACAGAGCAGCGCGTCTGACTTGGGATACGATAAGCTTGACCATACCTCTGCCTTGGTACACTGAGGTTGGTGCTAACGTTGGGGTTGGTGTCTGCCACTCACCACATAAAGTGAGTAGAAACTGTTCTCATCCCTCACAAAGACTCTATCTTTGCTTTGCTTCATTTGTTTACTTATTAATTTGATGAAGTCACAGCCACAATCCCATTAACTACTTATTGGTTTACAATACAGACAGAAATCAACAAGAGTATAATGGAACAGCAAATGCTTCTCTCAAGCTTCCATAACTCTTCCTGAAAACTTGGATTTTATCAATAAAAAATCATAAATCATAAAGAATGTAGGCACACAGATCTAATATCTCTCTAATACTGAGACCTCTATTTACCTATCTTTCTAATTTGGAAATAATTTAAACTACAGAGGTTCTCCTATTTCAATATTCTTAACCACCTGCATTTTCGTGGCTGTCTCTGCCACCTCAGACTTGAAAGGGCAGATCAGCTGGGCCCCTAAAACACAAATTAAATCCTTCCATCACACTTCCCTGAGAACGCTTAACAAATCATATTC